TCATTTTACCCACCTCGGCAGGATGGAAGGCTGAGGCAACCCTGAGCCGGTGAGATTTGAACCGCTGACCTGCTGATCTAGCAGTAGCCTGCAGTGCTGCATTTAACCACTGCGCCACCTTGGCTCATTGAAATTCATCAAAATTTTCAGATATTTCATGAAAGAAAACAATTATGATTACTGCTGAATTACTACATTGGTGATACAGTCTCAAAAGCTGCAAAAGCTGCATACCATCGCTAATGATATCTCACTTTATCCAAATATTTATGAATCATAGATTTCCAAACCTATTTCTCCTTCCTCTATATTCACAGGAACCAGAGGAGAAAAAAATAGCTTTGGAGCTGCTGGAAACAGAACAGGCCTATGTGGTTCGCCTTCATCTTCTAGACCAGGTTGGTTGGCAGCTGCATTTCAGCTTTCTGATGAAAAAAAGCTGAAAATAAACTACTTCCATGATTATTATTTTATTTAATAACAATACATGAAGATATCATAAAAATTGCCTTCTGGATATTTTCATCGTGAACAACTGATTTTTTAAAATTCAGTAAATCTTGGATTTCTGTAGCAAGCAAGCAATTATTAATACTTTGAAAATTCCAAAATGTCCACATAGTAAAAACAGAGCCCTTTCTGATATTCCACTGTCAAAAGTAACTCCTAACTATTCTCCTAATGGGACTACATTGATTTGGAAAATTATATGAAAAATAAAAATCCTATCTGTCCAATGGTGTGATTCAACCGGTCTAACAACCTGTTTGCTGAGCGCATGCTTTGCGCACACACTCTTCGTGTCAGTGTTCCAAATATCATGCAGAATTAAATCAGAGTCCAAGGCAGAGCTATCCTTAAAGTTCCAATTTAATAAAACAGTCATTCTGGCATCGTACTATGGAATCCCAATTCTGAAGAACTTCAGCAACAGACTATCAGCTGGGCTAAAAAACAAAGAAACATAGGTGAGTATAGCCCAGGGGCAGGTGGGCCCACCTGAAGGTTGGAGTGAACCGGTTCGCTCTCAGCTGATCTTTGGAGCTACCAGTTCGCCCAAACCGGGCTGAACTGGTAGAATCCCACTGCTGCATCTGTCCCTTAGTCAACTCTGTCCCTGTATCTTATAATACTTATCTCATTGTAGCTGAATGAGGAATGGAAACAGGGTAATTTCTTCTGCTCTGCTAAGGATTTTTATTTATATGATATCTTTTATTTTGTTTCTATTCCAGATGACCTTTAATTACTATTATAGTAATTATAACCACTATAATTCTATATTATAACAATTAGTACTTTAATTGCCATAGGTTTAGAAAACGCTAAGCCAAATTTCCTGAATTTTCTCCTCCCAGGTTATCTCTTCCCCCGCCCCCCCTTTATGTTGTGCTATTAACAGCCAGGTTTGCAGGCAGATGTTATTGATCTTACAGAAGTTTCTGCAAGAGACTTTTGAGTTGAAAAGTAGGGTGAAGCATTGTAATTAAAACTGTGTTTCTTCATTGACTGAGAATGTTCTTTACAGGTGTTTTTCTCTGAGCTAATGAAAGAAGCCAGAACTACAAAGGCATTTCCGGAAGATGTAGTAAAAATGATCTTCTCTAATATCTCCTCCATTTACCAGTTCCATTCCCAGTTTTTTTTGCCAGAGCTGAAAAAACGTATGGAGGACTGGTAAGTTATGAAATCAGCCTGCTTGTCTTTTTTTGACCACTATTTTCCTGGAAAAATATAACAAATTTAATAGCTTGTTGAAAGCTAGATGTGAAAAAGATTCAAGTCGTTTAAGCTTGAGTCACAAATTTTATCTGAACACTTTGTCCAATCTTGGAAAACATCTTATATATGGAGAAGGTTGTATTATGGTACATGGTGCATAATGCAACCTTCTTTTTTTTGTAAGAATTTTTTTTAATTTTTGAATAAACATAAACAGACAAAACACACACAAAAAACCACAAAACCATTTTCCATTACAAATTATAGAAAGTGTGTCGATTGGTTAAAAAAACTTCTGTGCATCCCTTCCACAGTCATCACCTACAATTCATATCA